CATGTGAATAACTGCTGCTCTGAACCAACTTTGAAATCTGCAACTTGCTTCATGATTTAAATAATTCCAGGTAATAAAATATGGGTTTACAGTTCACTGTAGCAGGTTCCTTTGGGGCAGAGAACAAGACCTTTTGTGACCTGGTGCTTACTAGTGCTTATTACATGCTTTCAAGTAAACAGATTGACTTGGTACCTTTAATTGCCTAGCACACATGCTCTCTTGTCACACCTTGAATTCAAAGCAAATTTGGAGAATACTAAAAACCTATGGGACTCTCTAGAACAGTGTTTGCCAAACTTCTTTTATTAAACTTTGGGGAATTTGCAAAAGGAAGATATATCTATAGAGTCAAAACTTTCTGATTCTTTTGACTTAGAAAGTTTGGGAGATGTAGTCCTCTGGATAATATCCCTGGTAATCCTTTCCGAGATGACATCTGGTCACTTTACTTGAATTCAGGTACTTTTCATTCCTATCCATTTCTCCCTGTCCACAATAGTAGGTTTTTATTCAGAGATTATGTTTTCAAAAGATTAGAAATAGATCAAAAAATCTACGTTTTAAAACAAGTCATACAAATCTTTTGACACATGTAATTAATGGACAGTATTTTGAGAAACAATGCCCTACAAAGCATACTTGATATAATAATGGCAGCTTTTATAGTTTGGATGTGAGGTGTCCCCCACCAAAATGCAAGAAGACTTAGAGTTGAAATAATTGGGTTATGAAAGCCTTAACCCAATCAGTGAATTAATCTAGTAGGGATTGACTGAGTGGTAACTGAAGGCAGATAGGGTATGGTTGGAAGAGGTGGATCATTGGGGTGTCTATTTTGTATCTAGTAAGTGGAGTCTTTCTTTGTGCTTCTTGTGTGCTATGTTCCCAGCTGTTTCCCTTCACCACACTCTTTCACCATGATGTTCTGCCTCACCTCAAACCCCAAGAAATGGAGCCAGCCTTATATGGACTTAGACCTCTGAAACAATGAGCCCCCAAATAAATGTTTCCTCCCCTAAAATTGTTCTTCTCCGGTCTTTTGGTCATAGTGGCAAAAAAGCTTGACTGAGAAAGCAGCTCACACAAGTAAGAATGCTTTCTATGCACCAGGAACTGTTCTAAGTACTGTGATATGCTCTGTGATAGATTGATTATGCCATTTTACATATGGGTAACTAAGACAGTGTAAGTTCAGCAGGACTCATGACAAACCAAATGTTGAACTAAGATTCAAACGCAATTCTGAGCGTAGTTCCAATCCTATACTCTGTAACCATGAGGCTGCTTTTTATATTGATATATGGGGTAGCAGCCCCACTATCACCAAGTCTATGTTTTGCATAACAGGTTAAAGAAATTAAAATTATGCAAGTATTCAAATTAAAAAAAAAAACAACTAAAAGCACCATTGAAAGATGGGTGCTTGTGGAAGGATGTTATGTGAAGTATTTTGTTGTGGTGTTTCCCCCCGCCCCCGCCTCGTTTCAGGGATTGAACTGAGGTGGTGCTGAGGATCGAATCCAGTGCCTTGCACATGCTAGACAAGCGCTCTACTGCTGAGCCCCAACCCCAGCCTTCAGAAGTTAAAAAACGTTCTAGAGATGATTGGTGGTAACATATGCACAACAATGTCAATGTATTTAATAGTCAGATTATAGTTAAAAGTTACCAAATGTATACTACACAACACGTATATCTTAACTCAAAAAACAATTTGGCTAAGACAAGAGGATTGCAAATTCAAGGCCAGCCTTGGCAATTTAGTGAGGCCCTAAGCGACTTAGTGAGACTCTGTCTCAAAAAATATAAAGGGACTTGACTCAGAGCCATTGGCTTGTTCAGATACATCTAAAAATAGTTAGACAGGTATTTTTAAAGTTATAATTTTTTTTCTTTTTCCAATGCTGGGAATTGAACCAAGGGGTGCTTAACCACTGAACCATATCCCTCACCCTTTATATTTTTTGAGACAGGGTCTTGCTAAGTTGCTTACACACACACCTATAATGCCTGACTTGGAGGCTGAGGACAGCTTGGGCAATTTAGTGAGACCCTGTCTGGGGGTGGGGGAAAGAACTCTTGAGTATTCATTATGTCTCAACTCATGCCATATCCTTAAACATGCATTCTGAATGTTTTTCTATCTCTTATGAATAAAATAAGAACTTCAGGAAGTCATCACTATTTGACCAGGGTTGGAAGATGAATTGAAAAACATTGCTTTTTTTTTTAGTTGTAGATGGACACAATACCTTTATTTTATTTATTTTTATGTGGTGCCAAGAATCAAACTCAGTGACTAACACATGCTAGGCAAGTGCTCTACCACTGAACAACTCCAGCCTCTGCTATCTGACTTAATGAAGAGTTTGATGGGTTGCTCACAGCTTTGAAAATAGTGCCAACTGGTCAGTAGTGACCAGTAAGAGGCACATGTTTCCTAAGATTATCCATTGCAGAATCCTTCCTCAGCTTTTCAGTGTTTTATGAGCCTAAGGTGGTCAGAAGCCCAATTAAGAATGGTAGTGGTAGATGTTTGTGGATTCAAAGGGAAAGCCTGTCCCTGTTTGCCATTGTTGTGGTGCTTGTTCTTGTTAGCATAATTTCCAACTGGTTAATCTTAGCCTTTCAGTTTGTGAGGCAGGCCCTAATACATGAAAATTTAAGTTTCAAACTTTCAAGCAGCAGAGAGGAACCAGATTAATATTCAAAGTATTTTTTACTTATTTTTCTTTTTCAGTACAACTTATGAGATTCACCAAACATGGCGTTCTTGTGCATCCATTTTATTATTTTATTCTTACAAGTAATTATATATGGTCACAGGGTACAATGTGATGTTTCATTACATGTGTACACTGTGGATTAAATCAAGCTGATGGACATGCATCATATCAAATATTTATCATTTCTTTGTGGTGACTATATTTAAAATCTTTTAGTTATTTTTAAGTATACATTAACTTAATCCTAACTGAAATGTTGTATCCTTTGAACAATCTCTCTCTCAGCCTCTGGTAACCACCATTCTATTCTCTACTTCTGTGTTCAACTGTTTTGGATCCACATGAGAAAATACAAGATTTGTCTCTCTGTGCCCCGCTTATTTCGCTTAGCAGGATGTCCTGCAGGTTCATGCATGTTGTAGCAAATGATAGAATTTCCTGCTTTTAAAAGGCTGAATAGTATTCCACTATGTATTTCATATTTTAAAAATCAATTTGTTGTTCGGTCATGGTGGTGCAGTTTGTTATCCCATTGGCTTGGGAGGCTGAGACAGGAGGATGGCAAGTTCAAAGCCAGTCTCAGCAATGGTGAGGTGCTAAGCAACTCAGAGACCTTTGAGAGAGAGACCTTGTCTCTAAATAAAATAAAAGTAGGGCTGGGAATGTGGCTCAGTGGTCGAGTGCCCCTGAGTTCAATCCCCAGTACCTCCTAACCCCCCAAAAACTCCATTTGTTGGACTGGGGATATAACTCAGTGGTAGAGTACTTGTGTAACATGTGTGAGACCCTGGGTTCAATCCTCAGCACCACATAAAAATAGCCAGGCACAGTGGCACACAACTGTAACCCCAGCGGCTTGGGAGGCTGAGACAGGAGAATTGAGAGTTCAAAGCCAGCCTCAGCAACTGCAAGGCACTAAGCAACTAGGTGAGACCCTGTCTCTAATAATAGGGCTGGGATGTGGCTCAGTGGTCGAGTGCCCGAGTTCAATCCCTGGTACCAAATAAATAAATAAATAAATAAAAATAGATAATAAAATAAAGGTATCTTTATGTATCTTTCTTTCTTTCTTTATTTATATCTTTATAAAATAAAGGTATCTTTAAAAAATTCATTTGTCCACTGATGGCTCTTGGGTCATTTCCATATTTTGACTACTGTGAATAACACTTGAGACAAACATGGGAGAGCTGACATCGCTGCAACATATAGATTTCAGTTCCTTTGGATATATACCCAGAGTGGGATTTAATGCTGGGTACTGAACCTAAGCAAGCAGTCTACCACTAAGCCACATTCCCAGTCTTTTCCAAATGGCTGTACCAACTTCCATTACCACTGGTAGTGTATAAATAGTTCTTTCTTTGTTTTCTTTTTGTGGTACTTGGACTTGAACCCAGGGGTGCTTTACCAATGAGCTATATTCCCAGTCCTTTTTATTTTTCACTTGGAGATAGGGTCTTACTAAATTGCTGAGGCTGGACTTGAACTTAGAATCCTTCTGCCTCAGCCTCACAAGTAGCTGAGATTATAGCATGTGCTGCCATGCCCAGGTAAAGGTTCCCTTTTCCGAAAAGCTTAAGACAGGTGGAGTACAATCTTAGTTTATCATTAAAAAATAAAATTTTAATAAATTTTTATTAAAATTAATTTATATTTTAATAAAATATGTGTGTATACATTTATAAATTTCAGAAAGATTTAAGGTAGCAAAACTGTTACTGTTTATGTTCTGATACAGTTTTTAGACCTAGAAATGAGTTATCTCTAGAGCAAATTTAAAATATTACTATAGAAACAATAGAAAGTTATAAAAGGGAAATTTCTGTACCTTGTAAATCACCTAAATCAAGAGTGTTGGGCTGGTAGTATGACTCAGTGCTAGTGAGCATGCCTAGCATGCATGAGGACCTGGGTACAATCCCCGACACCACTAAAAAAAGAAAGTACGAGGGACTGGGATTGTGGCTCAGCGGTAGAGCGCTTGCCTAGCACGGCCAGGACCCGGGTTCAATCCTCAGCACCACATAAAAATAAAGGCATTGTGTTGTGTCCATCTATACCTAAAAAATAAATAAAAGAGTTAAAAAAAGAAAAAAAAAAAAAAAAAGAATGGACAAGGTACTTACTTTTGCATTCAAAATAGGAATAATGCTAAGATTTTACTCATATAACTATGTATATGAATGAGAAAATAGTACATACTGGATTCGTTTTCTGATAAGGCTACACAGGTGCAGAAGAAATCTGCATGAATGACAGACCCTCTCATTAAGCTCTCAATTTTATTTTGAAAGAAAATGACATAATGAAAACTGTTAAAACTAAAGGAGGAAAAAAATACTATCATTCAATGTCCACATATATCCTTACTATTTACAAGAACTTTCATGTATTTTTTGATCCTCAATGGTCACCTGTGATGTTTTGGTTATTCACTCTAATGAGACGTTTTCCCTATTACACTGAAGAATGCCAAGAAAAGTCTGCATAATTTCCATGTATTCAAAGAATAAATAAATTAAAAAAAAACTTTTCATATTATTAATTAGAAATTGTACTAGAAAAATTTCTTATTTTCAAAGTCCAAAAGACTTCATAGAGAGGATAAGAAATTTCTGAAATCTACCTTTGAATTTTTTTGGGATTCATTCTGACTAAGCAACATTTTTAGTTGAGAGAAGTGTTTCTTTCCTTTTTTCACACTCCTTGAGGAGCAAATGGGTGTTGATTGTCCAGATGTAGGTGTTCTGAAAAAAAAATAAAGATAAAAAAATTTAAAAAACTAAGTTATAATGACAAGTGACAAAATAGTCTTCCTGTACAGATAAGTGCTACTACAATAATTTCTTAGTCTTTTGTATTATGGCTATATATGGGCAGTGGCTGTACTCAGAAGTCATTCCTATTTTTAAAACATCTCCTCGTGAAATATCAGGCTATGGACAACATTTAGGAGGTATATAGGGCAGTTGGCCTATAGGTACAGTGTTATCAGATCTGAGTTCTCTTTGAGCCTGAAGTTAACATTCATAAAATTCTAAGCAAGGACTTTAAAACATATTCCTTTTTCATAGCTCAAACGTGAAAGATCTCCAAAGTGAAGGATCTCAACCAACACACAAAGGTACCTTTCCACTGTATCTTCCCCACTAGATTGTCAGCTCTGTAGGGCAGACATTATATTACTAATTTCTCATTATAGTACTTTTTGACAGTGTCAGGCACATAGAAAGCATCTAGAAATGTCCATTAAATAAATAATTCCCCATCTAGGATGAGTTAATTTCATTTCCTCCAACTGTGTTCTATCCCCTTGAATCCTTACCTGGGGTCTGAGCTCTCTCTTGATTCCCTATCTATACGGTATATGTACAGTATCTACCATTCTTGCATTTATTCATCTAAGAAGAACAGTGGTTCCTTGCTACTCACAAGGTGCTTGATTCCAGGACTCACCATGGATACCCAAATCCATAGATACTCAGGTCCCTTACATAAAATGGCTCAGTATTTGCATATAACCTATGCATACCTTCCTAAAGAGTTTAAGTCATCTCTAGAGTACTTATAATACCTAATACAAGGTAAATGCTTTAGAGAGTTTTTATACTGTATTATTTAGGGAATAGTGACAAGACAAAGAGTCTGTACATATTCAGTACAGACATAATTTTATTTTTCTGAATAAAATCCAGTATGCAATCTATTACTGGCTGAATCTACAGATGCAGAACAGTAGATACAGAAGGCCAACTATAGTCTTGTGTAAATGCAACTTAATTCTTTTAAATAAGCCAAACTTTCTCTCATCCACATTTATCCAATAAAGTAAAAATTGCTATTGAGTTCTTACTACACTAAATATCAAAATAATTAAATCAAAAGTAGGGAAAATTGACTTGAAATTTTATTTTAATTTTTAACCTAATTTTATAAACTTCAAGCCCAATATAAAAAATTCAATACAAAAGCAGAGATAATTCAGTCCTTGCTAGATTTCATCACCAATATTCAAGACTCAGTTTCTCTGTTGTAGCAAAATGTCCCAAGATTCCTTTTATAGTTTCTATGGAATTAAATTTAAACTTAGTGATTAAAGAATCAAGAATTACTAAAATAAAAACATGTATTCAGACTTATTTGAAAAATCCCTATTTAGTCAAATTTCCATAGGATTTCTGATAGAGGAAAGAACAAAAGTAAAGGCTTAAGCAGGAAAGTATACTGTGAGTGATTCAGTTTTCCTGGCACATAACATGAACTAAGGCAAAGTAAGATGGACAGTCAGTTGGTGCTGGATAATAAGGGCTGGAAAGCCATGCTGGAGTATTTGATTCATATGTTGCAGTTAGGTATTAAAGGCTGCTAATCAAAGCTGTGCTTCAGGAAGATGATCAGACTAGAAGGGCTTGAAACTAGAAGCTAAAAGACCCATTAGGAAATCACAGTAATAGTCCTAATAAAAAGTGAATAGGAACAGCAGCAGTTGATGGGAAAAGGAAAACAGATGTAAACAGTATGGAATGAGAATAGATAGAAATTTATTACAAGGACCACGGGAACAGGAGTTGTCGGTTATTCTGCCTTTCTTTTTTAGGTAGGACTATCGGAGAGGACATGTTCATTCACAGAATAAGGAACTATGAGGATGGGCAGTTCTGAGTGGTTAGCTGTTTTGGACATGTAAGAGTGAATATATTTAACAGGCAGTTGAAAATACACCCAGGGAGAGACTGAAAGAGTATTGTACTTAGAATTCATATGTACTAAAATGAGAGTTGAAGATATAGAAATGTGTGATATCAGAGAAGAAAACGGTATGGAGGTGAAATGGGGCCAAGGCCTGATCTGCATATAATATTCAGAAGTATAAACAGAGGAAATCAGATGAAATTCTTGAGTTCACACTGACAATTCAAATAAAACTGATGAATTAGGATACCTGAAAATCAATGCTGGGCTCTTGCCTTTGGAGCCAGGCATATTAGGAGTGAAGTTTGCAAAACTTGGAGACTGTCTCTCTGGTCTCTTAGGGCTGAGTTTGCTTGTAGGAGTGGTATGACTGCTCTTCAATGTGGACAGAAAGCTTCTACTTTTACCATGATGTTTAACCGTTCTGTTGCATGTTTTACAAGTAATCAACTACCAAAAAAAGAAGAAACATGGGTTATATTTTATTCAATAAACCACATGTTCCCTGGATTCTTACGTCTGGTTGCTACAGAAATAAATAACACATAGGCTGCCCTCTGGGAGACCGCAATTTAGCAGTACGAAAAAGACAAAGACAAATTTAACATTAGAAAATTTTCAACAAAAAAATTAATGGTTAAACATATTGGTTTTAAAAGAGTTTTTTCTTTTTTTTTTTCCTTACAGATAATGAGCTCACTAGTTTCTCAACACAAACCATGTTTCGGGGGAATTAGGAAGGAGACTAGGAACAACATTCTAACATTTGAATGTTCTTTGTAAAATCAATAGGCATTTAATATTTTTTGCAGATGAACTTCAAGTCTTTTCCCAATAAAACACAGTAGAATATCACTGAAAATTTAAGTGCCCCCTTTAAATCCTTAGCAATTCTGAAAATAGTTATACAATAATTTATAAAAACAAATGAATTATCAATATTCTCACACCTCTTCATTCCTGTCATTAGCTTTAGAGGTTGACTTTCTCTTCAAGATTAATTTTTAAGGCTGGGGTTGTGGCTCAGTGGTAGACTGCTTGCCTAGCATGTGTAAGGCACTGGGTTTGATTCTCAGCACCACATATAAACTAATCAATAAATAAAGGCCCATCAATAACTAATAAAAAATTTTTAAAAAGATTAATCTTTAAAGAAATGGTCCATTGTCTAGCTAATGCCTTTCTTCTACACCTCTCACTCAAAATGCACAGAATTCAGCCCATGCTTCAACACAATATAAACCGGTTTAGGTGAGATATCTTCAGAAGTTCTGTTTGGCTTTATATTTTTCCAAAAGAGGCTTTAAAAGAGGTCAAAATAAATCAGCAAAATCAACACCCCTAGCATCCTTTAGCTGACCTTTAATTAAAATACATCAGAATGTAAGTTTCATGAAGGTAAAATACTGGAAGACAACAAGGAAGCACTTATTATCTTCCCATTTAGGAACATTTAACAAATATGTGGCAGTGATACTTTTTGAAAAATATAATTCTCCAAAGAGAAAGAGTAAATTCTACTTACTCCAGTATTTTCTCTTACCCTTTGAACATTTGATTTTATGACAAAACAAAATGCACTTACTTGTCCAATACTGGTAAACTCCTAAATATGGCAATTTTCAATTCAAGTTATTACTAATTATAGTCTTGGGCCAAACCTAAGCTGTTATAATGTCCAATATCCAGCAGTGCCTTCCACTTGAATCTGGATACTTGAAATATGAAGGATACAAAATACATCTGACACTGGCCTCCACCTAGTAAACCATAAGTAATTTGATTTTGTTTTATTCCATTTTATATCCTTAGTACTAAGCACTGAGTGGCATATAACAGAATACTGAATGAATGCAAGACACTCACCTGTTGTTGGGCAAACAAGTAGTTACACACTAACATGGGGGAAATGAATGAACAAAGGACACTAATACCTACATACATAAAGTACAGCAGTGTGAAGAAAAGAACCGTTAACTGAAAAAACAGTGTAGTGGTTGGTAATTACAGTTCAAATGGAGTCATTCTGATGTGTCCAAGAAATCCTGACATTTTAACTGTTCACCAATGAGATCTGAGAATAATTAACAACATACAATGTTTAGTTTTGAGGTAATTATGAAATTAAACAAATGTACTCTTGATGAAACAATAATCACTAGAAAAAAATTTTATGTATATAATAATCCAGATATACTACTACAAATTTCTGAGTTATAGGCTGATTCTTAACATTATTCTAAGTGACAGAAAGGAATTACAACTTATTAATATATACTGGAACTGAAATCTTACCAATACACTTTTGGAGTCTTTATACTTTTTGACTATTTTTGCTTCTTTAAAACTGAGCGTATTATTTCTTGCTTCTCGATTAAGAAGTTTCTGTATTCTGGGTGTCAATTTGGCCTTGGGTTTGAGACGCACTCTAGAATTATCCAGAACCAACAGCTGGAAACAGTATGGACATGTTTCTTCAAAAGTGCTCTTGTCATCTAAAATTATGCAAATGAAACGATTCAGTAAACTGAACTATTCTATTATCTCAAACAGTTGACATTAAAAATATTAAGAAGAAAAGGTACTGGCATGAGCAGACAATATGTATTCTTTAAGCAAACTTAAAATACAAAAATTTCAAAAACACAAAACTGGCAACAATTTATCTTGCAAAATTCTACAATTCCATCCATTCACTCCTTTCAACAGACAGGCTAGGTCTCCAATATTTGCTACCTGGCTCATTACTTGTCACTACTTTTTATAAAACAAATTACAGTATGATTTTCTTTTTATAAACAATCATCACAACCAATGCTTATTGAGTACCTACTGTTGAGCATTATTCTAGAGATGCAAGAACAAGAGTACTACAAATGATCAAAGGACAGACATGTCTATAACTTACCTCTGCCAAATGTAAGATTCATTTATATTTACTGAGTGACTATTAAGTGCTAGATATTGTTGTGGGTGTTAGAGATACAGCCCTAAACAAAGGACCACAATCTACGGAGGCATCTTTTAGGTGCTGCCAGGAAAAAAAAAAATGTAAGACAGGAAAGAACAGAGTGTGTTGTAATTTTAAATAGGATGTCTAGGGAAGGCTTCATTAAGTGATATTTACAGGTAGGAATCAAAGCAGGTTTGTGAGCCAAGAGTTCTAGGTAGGGGACAGGGCAGCTCCAAAGGCTCTGAAACAAAACAAACAAAAAAACAGTAAGGAGGCCAACCTACAAGGCTGAAGTCAAATGAACAAATGAGAACAGGTCAGAGAAGTTATGTGGGCCTATCCTATAGGGTTGAATAATCTTTCTAAAGGACTTTTACTCTGACATGGGAAGCCTTTTATGGCAGGGAAGGGTCATGATCTAGTTTTGTCTTTTAATCTCAGTCACTCTGGCTGCTGGTTTGAGAACAGACTGTATGAATGCATGGTAGCTGCTGGTAGTAATCCAGGAAAGGCAGTGGATGCGATAAAAATTGGCTAGACTTGGTGTTTTTTTGTTTGTTTTGTTTTTGTAGGGGGGATTGAACCCAGAGGCCCTTTACCACTGAGCCACACCCTCAGCCCTTTTACTTTTTATTTCGAGAGAGGGAATCTCTAAATTGCTAAGGATCCACTAAGTTGCTGAGGCTAGCTTTGAACTTGTGCTTCTCTTGTCTCAGCGACCGAGCCAGTAGGATTACAGGTGTGCACCACTGTGCCGGCTACAATTGGGAAATCTTAAAGCAAACAGAATTTGCAAGCATATTGATGGGGGATAAGAGGGTTTTTAGGGGGTCAAGAATGGCTCCAAGAGTTTGGGCTGAATAACTCTCAGGGTCAGCACTTACTGAGACAGTAACAACCAAGGCATTTGTTGGCGGTTATGCTCAGGTTTTAGACAATTAAGTTTGAAATGCATACTAGACATTCAAAAGAGGTTGTCAAGAAGGCACCTGACGTGGGTCTCCAATTCGGAGGGGGTTGGGGCTAGAACTTGGTTAGGCCTGGTATTTAAATAGTATGAGACTGGATGAAAAACGATCAGCAAAGAAGTGAGTGTAGCTCGAAAAATGGTCCAAGGGCTGAGTCTGGATCCACTGTAATATCTAGAAGTTGCGGAACCGGGAGGAATCAGCAAAGCAGATCAACAGGTGCTGGAAAAGGTCAAAGATGAATGTGATGACCTGGGGGTCAAATGGAAACTATTTCGAAAACACTGAAAAATGTGTCCAATGTCAAGCAAGATAAGGCACACTCAGGAATGTGGATTTCTCATAAAACTGGGAAACTTCCGCTTTGTTTTGCTTTTAAAACGAGACAAGTGAGTCGATCAGCCTTCTCTTTTAGATCACTCGGAGCGCTGTGCGGAATGGGTACAGCAGGGCAACAGGACCTAACCCCCCAACAGACAGGGGTCCTCCCTACCGTGTGACGAACTGTAGGCCCAGCTGTAAAAGAGAAAGAAACACGTTAGGAGCAAAGGAACACCTCCCGCCCGCTCCCGCTCCCCTCCGTCCCTCTCCTACAGGAGATAGCGGGCCTGGCCCGGGCAGCTCTCGACTAGGTTTCGCGCCGCAGCCTCCAAATAGTGCTTCTGCCTCATCTTCACTACCACTTGCCGCCGAGACCCAGCAAAAAAAGGAGACGCCGGATGTCGGCTTTCTAGCGTCATCAGCGTTGGCCTCAGGATTCAAGTTCCTGTTGGAAACGGGCACCCGCAGCTAAAGGTTCCGGGTTCCTTCGCGTCCCGCCTGGCGCGCAGGCGTGCCCAGCCGGGAGCTCGCCTTCACCACTGTCCTGCACCAGCGTTCTCTGTTCTGCCTGGTCCGCTTAAACCCTCCGCGAGGTTCTTGACCAGGCAAGGGCGGCCAGGTCTGGAACTTAGTGTCTTCCTCTTCCGCTCGCTTGCTCCTTGACAGCTGTGTTATCCCGTCAGGGTCAAGTTTTTCTGGGTAGCGGGAAAAGGCAGGGTTTATGATGAGATTAGTCAACTAGCTAGTCATCCACATTTTTTTTTTCCCTCACACGTTTCTAGTTCGATTTTTATTCTTGTACATTTTTTATTGACATCAAGTGTATCTTCACTTAAGCGTAAGGTTGAGCAGCTGACGTTTCTTTCAAGGTGGATAGCAGGTTATGCAAAGACCCCTTAGGACTTCTCCATCTGCATTGAAATAAAGATAAAATGCAATGAGGACTGAAGGTGTGCCAGGAACTTCTTAAAAGCATCTTAATAAGTATTAATTCATGTAGTCCTCAGGGCAACCTCATAGCACAGGTGAAATTTCACTTCATCATGTAGAAAAACCTTTTAAACGTGGTGGAATCTATTTCTAGACTCTTTGTTCTGTTCACTAACCAATGAAGCAGAAAAGAGGAAACATGCACACACTGTGCCTAGTGCCCAGCACACTTCCTTCAGCCAGTCCTCTCTTCTCACCTCTGAGCATCACACTCCTATACATAAATGCCCCTCAGCATCTCTACTGAAATTGCAACTTCTTTTCTCAGACGAGATGTGGCCAAAAAGCACTCTTGGTCTCTTCCACCATCCTGCCTGGCTGCTCAGTCTTTTTCCATCTTAGCACACCCAACCTCACTGCATTTCCTCTTTCCTGACTTGCAATTGGTCTGCGTACACGTCCTGTTGGCTCTCCACCAACAGCAAACCACTACGCTTTCCACTTCTCTGCACCATCATGTCCATCCTGTTCTCTTGCCTGTGCCTCTAACACAGTCCCCTCCATTCTTTTCCTGATTCCTTTCCTATTCCCCCAGTTCATTCTCAACAAAGCAGACTAGACAGCCTTCTTAAAATGTACAGTAAATGATTTTTGTGAATATAAAATGTTCCTGCTCAGAGACTTCTCAAGGCTCCTTAGTGCACTTAGAACACCAGCACCTGGTCATGCTTTCCAGGGCCCTCTCTGGGCAGATGACTGCCTCCATCTCAGACCTCATCTTGTCTCATCTGCTCACTGCTCTTGCCACAATAGCCTTCTCTTTTGTCTCTCAAACACATCCTGTTGAGACCTCCTCCAGGATCTTTGCTGTTCTCTGCTTTGAATGAGAATCCTTCCCATGGCTGCTTGTCCTTTTCAAAGGCCTTCCTTGACTCTCTGAATAAAAGAGTTTCTCCCTTACCATCAAGTAATTTTCTTCCATTACTTGTTTTTACTTGTGTCATATGTTAAATGAAACTAAATCTGGCCTGAGGATGCCTTTGTACTTGAGTCCTTATGTAATGAGCTATAACCTAATGAGTATGTAAGCTAACTGAATATCTAACAGATAGATATACTTTTCTAATAAATAGCTGAATCTCAGCCAATCATGGTAGCTGAGCCTCATAAAAATCACAGGTGGCCAACTGATCAACCAAGTTCAGATGAGGCAAATCCGGAGCTGTTACTAGTCAAGCTGTCTCTGTACCTCACTTCCATTTTTTGCCCATAAATGCTGCCTGCCCACGTTCCAAATCAAATCTCTCTGAACCTGTTCTGGTTTTGAGGGCTGTTTGGTTTGTGAGTCATTCTTTGCTTGATTAAATCCTGTTAAATTTATATTGTCTAAAGTTCTTTTAACACATAGTAACCTTAGTATCTGAAATCACCTTATTCATTCATTGTTTACCTGTACCTATTCAGAGTGAACTAAGGGCAGTAGAACTTGGTGTGTCCTATTTGCTGTTCTGGATATTGTCTGTTGCCTGGCACAGAGAAGGGGCTCAATAAAGATTTGCTAAATGAGTAGGTTCTCATAGCCCCAGTAGCCAGACACTGTTGTTATTCCTACTCCACTGGTAAGACTGAGGCTCAGAGAGAAGTTACTCAATCACAGAACTGATGTTACACTTGAGCCAGCTCCTTTGGCTCTGAAGTCCCCGATCTTCATGTTGGTCCTTTTCTTGCCTGATTCACCCGTCATTGATCTCCTAACACATCACAAACCTTTAATAGAAGGGTGTGTTTTCTGAGTCCAGGTTGCTTCAACCATATTAATCTCCTCTGCATCATTTCCCTGCTTCCAAAAAAATATGAGTCTAACTAAACATAGTCTAAACATCAAGCTTTCTGTTTATAGCTCACCAGCACCATGTCTCCTTTCTCTAGAGAGCTTGTACTTTAAATATCTCCTGCCCAGAAATTATTTTTCCATTTCAATAAGAAGGCAGAATGAGTGTAAAGATCAGCTGGCACATTTGGACTCTGGTCTGTTATTAAGGGGCTTTGTAATGGTGAACAATTTTCCTCAGCTCGACTGTACCTCAGTTTAGCGATCTGAAAAAGAAGAGGCTAAAACTATAACTAAATGTGGTTCTAGATAAGAATCACCATGTGCATGTAACGTAAAGTTCAGAGTACAAAAGGGATGGGAGCTTGCCTTTCAACTTTAGGCCCCCCAAATCTAGTGAAGGGCTAGTGACCCAAGGACCAGGGCTGTCCCCTACATGTCCACCCAGTCCCCCATGCTCATCACCAGCTGCCTTTACCACCCCACTTCTCTCAAGAGGTAAGAAAAATGTCTCAGAACCATTGCCACAAACTGAAATATATATATATATATATATTACTAATTTGATTTAAAAAACTTTGAGGCTATCTTTAGATAATTACAGGCACAAATGCAAAACCATGAGCTCATTATTTAGTTGGGAATTACTGTAGCAAATATTGATGTTGATTGGGAAAAAAGAAAGGCCTGGAAAAAAGTAGAAAAGAATTACTCATCAATAATTTTATGATTTGGAAAGATGCCAGTACTTTTTTGAGTGTCCATTCTAATACCCCAGAGAAATCAGAGCTCTTGATCTACATGGTTGAATTATTTTGTGGTAACGTTGACTTAAGCCTGTCTTTGTCTGATGCACGAGTTAGCTGAGTCTTTCAGTTTCACATGACATTTAGCAACTTCAATTTGTGAAAGCCAGTCAAAGAAGAGCAACTCTGTCAGGCCCAAGTTCAAGCCTTGTCCAGCAGTCCAGTGGACTCAGAGGGAGGTGAAGTGGGAGACGCTCAGGATCCTGAACAGAGCCAGGGATTCAGAGGGCCACCCCTTTCCCAGTTCACACTCAGGAGTGGGGTGAGTGCCTACATAGGCAACCCAGCAGTGTAGACTCACCTTCTATTCACTGCCTGTTTCAGCTTCTGGAAGGTTTTCCTTTGTGAGAATACATTTATGAATCATGTTCTACCCATAGTAGTTAGTAGGGTTTTTTTTTTAATGTTTATTTTTTAGTTTTCGGCAGACACAACATCTTTGTTTGTATGTGGTGCTGAGGATCCAACCCGGGCCGCACACATGCCAGGCGAGCGCGCTACTGCTTGAGCCACATCCCCAGCCCCAGTAGTTTTGTTTTCAATTTCATTCATTTTGCCCCGTAAATACACATTTTTATCTTGGAAATTTTCAAGTGCAAACGTAATGAGAACATGAAATGAGCCCATCACCCTGTTGTAGGGACAAATGAGGCAAGGCACCAAAGATGGCAGGAAACAGTTTTATTTGGCTGCAGCCAGGATCAGAGGGCACAGCTTTTGCTGTAATCA